AAGAAAAATCAGATTTCTTCCCCAAATCTCTGCTCTGTTTTGTTGGGAGGGAGAGGAGAGGAAAAAAGAGAGTTTTTCAACTTCTTTCTACGATCTACGACTCTACGCTCGTCGAATCGACTCGGGCCAAGAATAAAGATTGTTCTACATGACAAGGGCTACAAAATCATACCAAAAAACACAGATTTTGATGAAGTTCAAGAATCAAGATTTGGGAAAATCAAGGGTTAAGGCTTGATTTGTGTTCTTGAAGGCTTCTACTACTTGTTTTATGTTTCAAGAGGTAGATTTCTTTTTTTAACTAGTTTATTTTTAACCTAGGGTTGATATATAGAATGGATAGGGTGTTAGAGATGTATTATCATGTATAACACTTACCTATGGTATTTGAAATATGAAAAATGAGTATTAAAAATTGTTAAAATCAATTCTAGCATGAATTGGATATATAAAAATTACTTATTGTGATTTCTTGAGAAATGTGGTGATTTGAGGCATATTATGTGATACATGATTTTTCTTGCCTTAAAGGTGTTTGATTAAATGCCTATGTGGATTAAATGTGTTATTTGCATAAATTATGTTATAACATACTTGAAATTTGATGTTGAGAAATGTTGGTATATGCATATGATATATTGACATTGAAGTGGTTATATGTTTATGATGCAATTTACTATGGAGTATGATGATTGGATATTTGAATGTTCATAATGTGCTCATGACTTATTGAACATGGTTGAGAATTACAATTGTACATTTTATATTGCATATGCATAGAAAACATCGCATTTGTGGACATTGACATGAGTGTGGGTGTGTGTGCATGTTGTTGGATCAAATTGGTGGTTGATAAGTGGACTCGGGGAGGTTGGACCTAGGTCTGGCTGAATTACACAGTTTCATGAAAAACTTGTATCGGGTATAGCAAGCAGGGCTAGATTCTTCCTCGGGTGTAAGACTCGGTTACTGGTTTATACACTTCCGCTGGTGAAAATCCAAAAAATGTATTGGTGTACGGAACTGGCGGTGAGACACCAAAATCCCGCTACCTAACAAAGACACATCATTTATTTTAAAAAGGTCATTGGATGTGTAACATCAATGACGAGAGCTTGGAATGTCTGGATTCATATGCATAGCATTGCATGTGTTATGGGAGCCAGTAAAGGCTCGGGTTGAAGTTGCATGTGTAAGTTTCATCTCATAACATAACATGGCATTGGGAATCCATTATGAATTGCATATTCTTGAATGGATTATTTATTGCTTGTGAATTACATGTGAATATTTCATATATATCTAGGTTGAATAGTAGCCTCTTTAGGAGATACCCTATTGAGTGTGGCTCATCCTTTGTGGGGATAATATTTTAGGTGTAGGACATGCATCGATGGACGGCTCTCACACGGGCCCTCATTGTTGAAGAAACTTAAATATGGCTTTTAACTATGTTTTTGTAAAACGAATATGTATTTTAGTTTTTTTTGGGCATATAATGTATGTAAGGAATTGTAATCGACTTCATATGAACTATGTTTTATGTAAAATTGCATGTTGTATGAGTTGGGTTGATGTTGAATAAGGTTGGAATGAATTGGAATTGAAAAAGGATGGAATCAGGAGAAAACTGGAAAGACCTACCGGTAGAACGACCAGTTCTTCTACCGATAGAACTTTTCCAATAGGCATCTTCTACTGGTAGAACATTTCTAGTGAGTTTTTCTACTGGTAGAATGTTGATATTCCTACTGATAGAACTTTTTCATTAGGTTTTTCCTATCGGTAGAACTCTGAGTTCTTCTAACATAGGTTCTGTTTAAATCTCAAAATTTGAAATGCTTTTGCTAAGCCTTCGGGTCTTGGGTTCTTTTGTTCAAATGATATAAATGGACAATAAATGAGAGTAAATTTATGTATATTAGACCCTGGATGGGTCATGTGATTGAATAGTATACAGATTATGCGTTTGAGAAGTGTCCGGTACAAGGGAGACTCTGTTCAAACGTTGTGTCGTTTATGACCTCGGTAAAAGGGATATTATTGATGTAGTGTCAGGTTATGAGACATTCACAGGTACTTTCGCGGGTTGATGAATGATCAACGGGTTGACAAAGGACCCTCGATTTTAGAGGCATCACATATAGCCAAATGACATAAACAAAGGGAAGTAGTAGATTATTTTGACACTTATTCACCAGTTACTAGAATTATTTTCATACAGATGTTAATTACTATAGCTGGTTTAAATGGTCTTGAAATATATCAAATAGATGTAAAGACAACATTCTTAAATAGTGAATTAGATGAAAAAATATACATGAAATAACTTGAGGGGTTCATTGCTAATGGATAATAAAAGAAAGTTTGCAAGCTTGTTAAATATCTATATGGTTTAAAACAAGCATCGAAGCAATGACATGAAAATTTTGACAAAAATGCATTCAAAATAAATGAGTGTGACAAATGTGTATATGTTAGGAGTATTCATAGTGGATACGTTATTTTAAGTTTTTATGTAGACGATATGCTAATTATAGGTAGCAACAACAATGTCATTAAAGCTACCAAGCGGTTGTTGACAAATATGTTTGAAAAGAAAGACCTAAGTGTTGCTGACGTTATATTAGAAATTAAAATTTTTAGAACATTAGAAGGACTTGTGTTATCTTAATCTCATTATATTAATAAAGTACTTGATAAGTTCAAGAAGTATGAGATAAAACCTATGAAAACACCTGTCGTTGTTGATATCCATTTTTTTAAGAATAAGGAAAATAACATATCACAGTTAAAATGGACACGTATAATTGATAGTTTCATATACATAATTAATTATACCTATTTGGATATAGCATACTCAGTGAGTAAGTTAATTCGATATACAAGTAATCACAGAAAAGACCATTAGCAAGAAATTATTAGAGTTTTGGGATATCTAAGACATACTCAAAACTATGGATTGCACTACACGAAGTACCTAGCAGTACTCGAGGAATACACTAATACTAATTGGATATTTGATACTAAAGATTCAAAATCCACGAGTGGATATGTATTTACCTTGGGTAGTGCAGCCATGTCTTAGAAATCTTCAAAACAAACTTCTATTACTAGATCTATAATGAAATTTGAGTTCATTATCTTAGATAAAGCAAGAGAAGAAGCAAAATATCTTCATAACTTCTTAGAAGACATTCTAAATTGGCCAAAACATGTGCCTGCAATACGCGTTCACTGTGATAGCCAATCTATGATTGGAATGACACATAATTGTATGCGTAACGGTAAGTCTAGACACATATGTCATAGACACAATACTGTTAAACAATTGCTCTCTAATGGTATTTTATCCATTGACTATGTGAAGTCAATGGATAATGTTGCAGATCTGCTTGTAAAAGTTTTGACTAAAGAGCAAGTGGAAAGTTTATTGAGGGGAATGAGCTTAAAGCCTATTGCTTAACCAAGAGCTACCATAATGGCAACTCAACTTAGCTGACTGCAGATCCCAAAATCTAAGTTTAAAGGGACTACCGAATTATGTGTAACTTAGTATGCATTGAGGAGATTTTCTAAACTCCTTCCCATTCCTAAAGCAAGGATGATGAGATATTTACTGCTGAAAACTATCAACAAAGTGTTGGGATTTAGAATCCGTCTCAGCTAACATTAACCAATTGCTATGTTGTCATAAACATATTTGCATCCAACACGCTAAGGAGAGGTCAACAAGTGAGCTAACAACTTTTATTCCCTTCGCATTTTGACAACATTCTAACTTTTGTATCTTAAATTGTGGACGAACTTCCTCACTTTTTTATCTATCACTTGTCAACTCACAATCAATTGCCACAGAAACTCCAAACTCAGCACAATGAAGAATGCAAAATACATAAATTGATCCAAAAATATACCAAATTCGTTGACATTTACCAATAATCTCGACAAGAACAAGTTCCATCTCTAAAATGGTGAAACCGACTACGATCTCTCACGACAATCTCTCGGTCAAAAACCTTCGATATGAGTTTTATTGCAATGTGGCAATCCGCACACACCCTCAAGTTCTTCACAACTCTGATTTTGGTCCCAGGTGGTGTATTGATAAGCATGAATGCGATTGCAATCTTCTCACTATGATAAGTCAAAGCAGTTTCCTTCTCCTCTTCCTCAATGTCTGCAAGCACATTTGATGTATGAGGCACATAACCTTCCAATTTCAACAATCTTGTCATCTCTGCTAGCATTGCATATATATCCTCACTTTGAGTATGAGATCTATCTCCCATGACAAATTCATACATACAATTTCCTAACTCAACAAGGCTATGTCCTGGAAATTTTCTTACCCCTTCGTTCAGCATTGTCCTTCTCACATTTTGCACATCTGGCCAACGTCTCTCAGACGCATAGAGATTGGAAAGGAGAACAAAATCCCCACTATGCTTAGGCTCTAATCTTTGAAGTTGAGCTCTTGCAACCTCCCCTAGAGCCAAATGGCCATGTATTGTGCATGCTCCTAGTAAGGTCCTCCAAATCACAGCATTTGGCTGCAATGGCATGCTCTGAACAAACTCATATGCTCGTTTCACCAAGCCTGCTCTACCCAACAAGTCAACCATGCAACCATAATGTTCAATCTTAGGCACAATGCCAAATTCCTCTTTCATCCTTTCAAAGTAAGCAAACCCTTCATCCACCATCCCACAATGACTACAAGCATACAATACCCCAACAAAAGTGATTTCAGTAGGAACCAACCCTTGTCTCTCCAACTCCCTGAAAAGTTCAAGTGCCTCCTTACCAAACCCATTGACAGCCAATCCAACAGTCAAAGAAGTCCAAGACACCACACTCCTGTCCTCCATTTCATCAAAAACCTTTTGTGCCTCCCTAATGTTTCCACACTTCGCATACAGGTCCAAAAGGGCATTGGCAGCATGCAAATTCTCATTCAATCCCAACTTCAACATGTACACATGTGCCCTCCTACCCAATGCCAACGCCCCAAGCTCAGCGCAAGCAGTTAACAAGCTAACTAGTGTAAACCCATCAGGTTGAACACCCTCCAAACCCATATTCCGGTACAGGGTCAAAGTCTCATTGGGCCTCCCATTAACAGCAAACCCATTAATCACAGAATTCCAAGCCACAAGACTTCTCTCAGGCATTAACTCAAACAACTTGTATGCACTTTCAGCATGGCCACAAGCACCATACACATGTACCAAAGTGTTTTGCACAAAACTCAATGACTCAAACCCATTTCTTAAAGTAATGCAATGTATCTTCTCACCCTCTCTAACAGCCATTAGCTTAGCAATGGCTTTTAGAAGAAACGGGTATGTATGTGTATCAGGTTCGATGGAATTCCCATGCATTTCTTGGTGTATATCAATGGCCGGACTTGGGTTTTCACTCTCAGCATAGCCTCTAATCATTGTATTCCAAGTGAAAACATTTGGGTTTTGGATTTGAAAAAATATATTGTGGGCATATGACATTGGTGCTGAGAGGGATACGAGTTTGAAGATCAAGTGTTTGCCCAAGTCGGGGTTGTTTAAGGGGACACCATGTCTGATGGAGAAGGAATGGATTTGCTTGAGTTTGTATTTGGAGGACGCACATGTTAGCAAGAGAGCAATGCATTTCTTGAGAATGTAGGGCTTTGGGTTTTCTTGAAAAATGGTTGATGAGGAAAGTGTGAACTGAGAGAAGTGGTCTGGGGGTTGGTTGTCAGGGAAGTTTGAGTGCATATCAAAACACGACTGTGCAAGACTTGTTCGCTAGTTATAGGTACCCACAAGCATATGGTTAGGATTCTTCTTGTAGCACTTCGGTCCATCTATTCCCCCATCAAAAAAAAAAAAACCAAAAAAAAAAAAAACTTGTTCATACATGCAGCTAAATATATTTCGTATTATTAAATTATATTATTTTCAGGTTAACTAATTATTCCTCACACTCGTTTTGTGGATTTTTTTTTCTCTTCGTTTTTATTTTTATTTTTTTGAAGTTTTAATAACAAAAAATCGTCAATTTTAAGACACGTGACTACTATCACCCATCTATCATGTGTCTAATTAGAACTTGGGCGAATCACACGTTGTACTTCAAAAATTTTAAAATTCTCAATTTACACTTTTTATTATTAATCTTTTTCACATTACTTCCTCAATGTCATAAAATGGTTATAATGTGCTCCTCACTCTAACTTCCATTGTAATTTTCGTCAAATTTGTTACATAGCTCCACACTTTTTTTTTTGAGCCGGTAGGAAAAGCACCTTTTCATTTACAAATTTTGTCTATATGTATAATGCCTCTAATTAGAGGTGTCAATTATGTTGTGTCGTATCATTTTTGATTGTGTATTTTTGTATCGGTTTACTTATGGTACATGTTGGGTTCGTGTCAATATTTGTGTTAATACAAAATTATTTAATTTCACAACAACTCATATAATACTATTTAAAAATTTTAAAAAATTTATAAATTTCTTATTTTTTGTTTACAATACTCGTTAGATACTTATTTTTTACCTATATTATCCGTTAATCGTGTAATTCGAGTTGAATTTTAATGTGACCTATTTATTACTCGTGTCAATTAATCGTATTATTTTCAAGTTTTGTATAAGGTTGAATTCGTGTTAATAGATAAAATTGACAACCCTTTCCCCAAGCTCCCCTGGCAGGCAGATACACCAGTCACAAGGAAGGGAATTGGTTTCAGCTGCTTTAGCAACTCAATGAGCAGCTTGATTGCACGGTCTAGGTACATGACGGAAAGTTAGCATTAAATTCTTTGCAATAAACGTGATGTCTTCCACACAAAATGCAGTGAAATTCAATAGAAATGCCGACGGAAGTTAGTTTGAGGGCCCTTACACTGTAACAATTTTATAACATTGAGCGTGTATCGTCGTTGCAGCACAACCGACTAAGGGCAAACTTGATATCTTAAAAAGATGGAAGGGGGTCGGGAATTCAAAATACAAAACTTGGATTATCTGTTGACGGTGAAAAATGATTATTTGTAAGTACATGGAGGATGGGATATAAGTACAAGTAGGATAGATCCCTTATGTATATCCCGAGTGAAATCTCGAGGTAAAACACATATGTATATACTAGTAACATGAAAAGGAGAGGATTAATCAAAAAATTCCCAGTGAGCTGTAGTGGGAGGAGGATCAAATGTTTCCCATTTGGTTGCAACAATAACCGGCTTTACTTTAGCATTCGATAACTTTATCACATCTAGGGTTTCGACGCACTTCTGCACTCTCTTGGCCTGCAAATAAAACCATTAAGTTTAACAACAACTGATTTAAGGGACATGGTAGTCGAAGTATTCGTACAAAATAACTGAGGTCAAAGTACAAGAAGGAAACCAGTGAGCAAGATAGGGCAGAGCTTCCATTGTTCATCATTTCAATTTGAAACTTTGAATGCTAGTTGTGGATGAGCTAATGACTAATGTATTGTAGTTCTACCGGAAATTGTGCTAAGAATTTGAAAATATTTGCTTTATACGTCATTAGTGTCGCACTTCGATAAAAAGGAGCATGATGTTAAGTAGTTCACAATTAGCATAAATCTTGTCAAACCTATTAGGAACATGAATATGTGTAATTACTATGCTTTCAAACGAATTGCTTATTGACAGTACAGACTACTCACATATGTATTTATTGTCAAAAAATTTACATTCGTTATAATTGGAGTGATATAAAACAAAATTGATACTTTAAGGTGCAATGTAAACAAATTTATAATTGAGGGCATAAAAAAAATAAAATAAAAATAATAATCTAAGGGAGTAAATTATAATTTACCCGAACAAGCAAGTCTAGTTTTAAGCATAAATTGAATACAGACAGCACATCACTACTTGCAACTTGCAAGAGAGACGGGCAGACAGCCTGTTAGGAAATATTATGTAACTCAAATTTATAACCCAAATTTGTATTTCAAAAGAAGGGGGACCATTAGATAAGTGGATCTCATGAAATTTTTTAAATGGATTCACTGATCCAATGATCCTCTTTCATTTATGATACAAATTTAAATTGTAAATTTATATTACATAACATTACTCATTATTAAGGTATAACGTAGGTAGGACTTTCAAGTGTCAACCGCGTTTTAGCCTGTCTCAGCCCGACTGATTGGCCTCTTTTACTGCCACATGGGCAATCCATTGGTAGGCTCGCGTTCTAGTTTGGATCTTCTGCCGTACAACAGAGATTCTGTTCATCAATACAATATCGTTTCACACTAAAATTACTTTGTTTTTTTTAATAAAATGATATTGTTTTAATATGAAATGAGCTCGTTTTGCTATTCCTCAACTAATGTAGAAGATTCGAATCCACCTGCATTCTGGCTCCCCCCTCGAACCACCAAATAATAAAACAAAACCCCGATTACATGCCGTTTGAAGCTCATTAAGACAGGCCAGATAGATAGGCCGTGGGACGACCTTTCTTTGGGGGCTGGTCCAGCCCTGTCTCTAGGAGGACATGGTTGTCAATCGAAGGCCGGGTCAGCCCGATGCCAGCCCTAAACTCCAGTGGAGTTTCAAGTATTCTCACATATTAATCTAGTTAATAAGATGAAAAAAAAAAAAAATTCAAGAAATGGGGAGTTACCTGTAATTTTTTCCGAGCACATGCATCTCCTTCTGCAGAAATGCTATCTATCTTCACGGCTTGTCTCATTAACATCTCAATCAATGTGGTGATCTGTACTTCTGGTACTTTGTTACCATTTCCAATAGACTTTTCAATAGCAGAAACCTATAGAACAGGAGCATGAATGAAATTTCCACATCTAGTAATAGCTATTGGGTGATAATCATAATTTCTTTTTAAGTATTTTTTTTATTTAACGCGTTTTTAGAAATGTTTGTTTTTTATATTTTACTTTCAGCAAAATGCATATAGATTATTTTTGTAAAATAGCAATTAATCAAGTTTTTTTTTTAGTTTTTTGAAAAAATTATTTTTAATTTGCTTAGATTGTGTGAAATTTTTTGACAAGATTTTGTCCAATGTCATTGAATGATTTGAATTAAAACTGGTTGAAAATTTAAGAATGAAATGGATAAAAATTAATTTTTAAGGATATGAAAATTAAAAATCAATTAACTTTTAAGGGTAAAGATGAAAATTTAATTTTTATGGATAAAGATGACAAAAGTTTAAAGGAGAATTATATTCAAACCCCCTGAGGTTTGTTACTTAATCACTCATGTCTCCTGACATTTGAAATATTACACACAGACCCTGTGAAGTTTGTACACGCGTAACACTTAGACCTCTGACGTCAATCTTTGTTAGTATATCCGTTGGTAAATTATATCCAGATTCCGTGAAGTTTATAGGTATAAAATACTTAGACCCCTTAAATTTAAAATATTATACTTAGATAAAAAATATTCTAATCAAAGATAGAATATCAAATATTTTAAATTTTACAACCAAAATTCATGTTCTATTATGATATTTATTGAAATAAAATTAAAAATAAATTTTTTTTTTAAAAAAAAATCATAATTAGTATAATTTATACTATCTATTTGAATTTAATAATTTGGTTTAACAATCAAATTAAACTACCAAATTACCCTAATTAAAGTTAAAATATATTGTCTTATTTACAGTTTGACCTCTTGTTTGATTTTTTAGTTTTATTTTAATAGAGAGTATAATTGTATACTAATTATGATTTTTTAAGAAAAATTAGATTTTTATTTTAATAAATGACATAATAGAACATAAATTTTTGTTGTAAAATTCATATTCTATTATGAATGATTTAAACCCTTTTTTTGATTTTTAAGTTTTACTCCCATTGATAATATAATTGTATATTAGTTATGATTTTTTAAGAAAAAATTGGTTTTTTATTTTTTATTTTGTTTCAATAAATAATACAATAAAACATGAATTTTGGTTCTAAAATTTAAAATATTTGATATTCTATTTTTAATTGAAATATTTTTTATCTATGTATAATATTTTAAATTTGAGGGGTCTAAGTATTATATGCTTATAAACTTCAGAGAATTAAGTGTAATTTAATAAGAGATATACTAACTAATATTTAACGACAGAGTTTAAATATTATGTACGTACAAAGTTTAGGAGACTTGTGTATAATACTTTAAATATCGACAAATCTAAATGATCAATTGAAAATTTTCAAGACTTAAAAAGAGCATAATTCTCGCAAAGTTGAATCAACTTCAAATAATAAACAAAAGCAGCAGGTGGGTACACAAGGCCCAACTTAAAACAGTGGTTTTCAGTCAAGTTCCTACAGCCAATGATAAATGGACCCCCAGCCCCCCAATGTATTGGTGATTTCACACAACATCACTAACAGCTTTTTTGGGCACTAAAAGTGAATTGCCCTGTCACCCACCTTTTTGTCTTAATTTTGTCAATTCGGATCAATTTTAATTAGTTCATCACTCAACTTATTTAATAAACGAATCGACTAGCGAAAACTTAGTAAAATTTATCTTCTCTAATATATTTTCTTTTTCGATTCTCTTATTGGGACATCAATCATTATTAATAAATGAAGAATTTACTTATATATAATGAATCACACTTGAATACATGATAGATAATTTATCAAAAAAAAAATTGAAGAGATAAATTAGATACGAACACATTTGACATTATTTATGTAAAGTAGTTATCCTTAGATTTGATTTGAAACCACAATTTCGAAATTATTGAACCAACTTTTGAAATTAACAGTGAAATCTCCGTACACCCATCAAATGGGATAAAATAAAGGGTTTATCTCACTTTACATCCTAAATAATATTTTTATTTTTAATTTGCACCCCTCAATATTATGAATTGGTAGCAATGTGAACTTAACACAAACTGCTGTTTAATTTTTTGTCATAAATTAAAGCACACGAGTTTCAAGTGCTTTGGACATGGATTTGTATGTAAATTCATAGATTGTTGGAGCTGCATGTGATTTACACATGATATGGTTAACTTCTATATGATTAATGCAATCTTATTTTCGATACACAAAATGGTGTCAAATTGATAGCAGACGAAGATTTGCATCAATGGACATACCTCATCTTTATCCCCTAAGCACTTGTATCTCACGTGCCTTAATTTATGGGGAAAAATTAAACGACAACCTGAGTCAGGTTTATATTGTTATCGTAAATTGAGCAAATTAAATATCAAAGTATCTTTCCGAATGCAAAGTGAAATTAGCCTTAAATAAACTAATTTTGGATTTTGCCCAAAAAAAAACCTAATTTTGGATAATTGACTATAATTAAAACAAACAAAACCGTTGGGAAAAAAAAAAAACATTTCATTTTTTTTGCTCACCTGCTCGGCAAGCTTATCAAGCTCCATGGACAGGTCATTGATCAGGCGATGTGCGGTTTGAATCTTAACTTTCCTACGCATCTCAATGAGTCTCCTCTCTCTGCTCTCTGGGTCCTCGATTAGTATGACTTTTGATCTCTCTTTGACTCCCCACATATCCAAATACTCCCCATTTTCTCTTTCTTTTCCTCTGAAAATTAGTCTCTGTTCAACAGGTTCTAACCCTGTCTCCCCCGTCAGAAGCTTCTTCAATTCACCTGTCAGTTGCCAACCCAACTCAAATTTATAATTTTACCCTTAAAAAGAATGACAAAACATGGAAACTAATTGCAATGGTTTACCCAATAACCCGCCCTGTAATTTGTTCGCTCTTCGAACCTCATTATCTTTCTCTTCATGTAAATACCGGTAAAAAAGAAAAAAAACTTTGCAACTAGTAAGGCATTATAGTCATATTCCCAATAGTAACTCTGTCATCGTGTGATGCCTAATTATATGTATGAAAAAGAATTTTAAAATTGAACATTTGCTTGTTATTGGTCGGATATGTAAATAATTAAGTTGATCCGAGGATAACCATTGACTTTGATAAATATTTGCAGTATAAAGTCATTATTTTTCAGTCAAAAAATAATAAAGAAAAAAATAAAGAAAGATAGAAGAAATGAGAATTCAGCTAGAAAGTCATCATTATTAATGATATTTTATTTTTATCTATTGGCGGTTGGTCCGATGGTCACCGCTCTCGTTGTTGAAACTCACGATCACGGGTTTGAATTTTGTTATCTTTATTTATAATTAGGTATTAAAATATGATACAATTTGTTAATACAAAATGAATATAATATGAAATTAGTGGGTTTGACTCTTCTTGAAATAATTTATTTCGTAAACGAGGGGTAACATGATTAAATAAACACTAATGTTATTGAGACATAATGAGTTGTCACCAATAAAATGATAGTGAAATGTATTAAATGATGAGTCTCATTGTAACATTAATAAATTTATTATTATATCATTGATAACAACTCATTATGTCCTCAAATTATGTCCTAATAACATTGCTCTTAAATAAATCAATCAAAACAAATACGGGTGACTCGTTTATATAGTAATTTTATATAATTCTCACATAATATAAATTTAATATGACACAATTTATTAGATTCAAATGAATAAAAGTTAGAAAGTAAACTTTGGAGTTAGTATGGTGGTCGAAACACAAATCAAAATCTACAAACTTTTCAGTTTCTACCAAGAAAACAAACAGGACATCTATTTTCCTGCATTTTCTCGGCAGCCAAACAGAAACAAAATCAAATAACTTGCAGAGATAGATCCATCTGGACTTACCAAAAGTTGCCCGAGAGTTCACCGAGATCTCGAACCGCACTGCACCATAAGCCACCCGAACACGAACATTGGGAGCAGAAACTCCGGAATTATCACTTCTTTTCTGCACCAACATTCCGCCGGGTCTCATCTCCCATTCCACCTCTTCGTCTTTAGAAACTGATGAAGTCTTCGCCGCCGCATTTCCCGCAGTTCTTCCGTTGAAATTCAGTCTTCTCTTTATCATCTTTGTTGTAACAAAACTTTCCGAGAAAATTTAACCGCTGAGAAAATTTAACCGCTTTTTTAGTTTCTGGGAAACAAATTCTATTAGATACACCCAATAGCTAACCACCCATTTCTGCCGACACACTTGCAGGCTGGATAGCTCTTGCTCGTGGGGACTATCTATATATAATAAAGTCATTTGAATTTTATAAAAAAAGGGTTAATTGTAAATTGTACCTTGCAAGATTTATCGAATCTCAATTTGTACCCTCAAAGATATAAATTTATATCAATACGCACCTGAAAGTAACAATTCTCAGTATGTTGTCTAAAATTAGTTGGGTAAGTTATCTTTAGGTGGTGTTTAATAAAACTGAAAACTAAAGTCTAAAAGTTGAAAGCTAAAGTCTGAAGGCTGAAAACTGAAATCTGAATTTATGGACTATTTGGTATTCATTGAAATTTAAGTATTGAATTGAACTAAACAGTTTGATAATTACATAGAGCTGACGTCTGAAAATAAATTAATTTTCAGTTTTACGCTTTCACTCTTTAATTTGAAAATATTTATAAAATATGTCATAACATAAATCATAATCACTAATATTATATTGTAGTCTACATTTAACAAATATTTGATCAAAATAAATAAATAAATAACATATGAATAAGACAATAAGTGAACAATAACAAATTGAATAACATTATAAGTGGACAATAACATCTAATAAAAAAAAAGAAAAATAATTAATAAATAATTAAATAATATTAAAAAATACAATAAATTAAATTTCATTAACAATATGTGTGCGCATCGTGTGTGTGTGTGTAAATATATGTGTGTGCAGTGCATATGTCTGTGTGTAATTGTGTGTGTGCAATGTGTGTATTTGTGTGTGTAATTATAATTATGTATGTATATTTTTGTTATAGAAGACAAGAGAAAGAAAAAAAAAAAAAGAGATCGACAAGGAGAATATATAAGTTAGGGGTTTTGAAGAGATGACTAATTAGAGTTTTAATAGGATTGTAAAATATTTCAGGATATAATTGTTATATTATATAGTTTTGCTGAGCACTTTCAACTTTCAAAACTAAGTAAGGGATCTCCTACTTAATATTGTAGTCTATTTTTAAGGAGCACTTAACATATTAAAAGAGTTTAAATTTTCGTTATTAAACGGGTTTAATTGATAAGTGTTGAATACATTCATTTTAGGCGCTGAATTTGGGTTAACAAACACACTCTTAGAATACCTCAAATTCGTTACTTAATCATTTGGATCCCACATTTAGAATATTACTCTTACACCTTCTGACGTTTGTATACGTGTAACACATAATCCCTTCTCGTTGATATCTATTAATATAATTGTTAAAAAATATGTTTTCATCCTAATAAAAAGTTATAATTTTCATACAGCCCTTTATTTTGTAGGTCAGTTATACTGTAAAGTTCAAAATCAAGCTTACCATTTGAATGTCCAATATAATACAAATATTTATATAATGTTATTTATATTCAATGTAATACATTATTTGAACACAATTATTTGGATGCTCAATTGAGGGAACATTTTTAGTCATATTTGAATTATCAAAGGATGTAGGTATAATATTTCAAATGTGAGGGGTCTCAGTATAATTTATCTATTTAATTTTAGAAGGCAATTTGACGACCGCTAGCTTCAAGTGTGCATTGATTCAAATTTATATTTTTGAGGGTATAAATTAAGATTTTTGATCTTTGAGGGTACAAATTAAAATTTGAACTATCTTTCGAGGTATAATTTATGATTAACCAAAAAAGAAAATTTATCCTTATATTGTTCTTGTTTATTTATATCACATTATTTATTTCTATTGCAATCTTTTTTTTTTGGCACCAATAATTTCTATTACAAGTTGAATTGTTTAAATTTTTTATTATTTATCACTCAATACAATTTTTATTTTAGACATTATTCTTATACGATAATGTATACATAATGATATTTTATTGAGGTTATATAAAAAAAAATAATGGATATTTTATTGAGGTTTTCTAAATTTGGTCACATTTAAAAAAAAATAATGGATATAAAAAAATATTATTTTATATAATATGATCGATTATTTGAGTGTTTAAATTTTACGTTGTATCGTGTATTTAAAAACAAGTTATGACTGATATATACAATGGGTGGCATGGGGTTGGGGAGGGGGGGGGGGGAGAGGGTGTTGCTAAGGAGTGCAATAGTTTTTAAACAGTAGAAACCCGGCATGAAATAAGTAAATTAGAATTGTAAGTAAATTAGAATTGAATAGTTTTCATTATAAGTTAAAAATTGATATGACTTATAAATACGAATAATAAATCAGATATATTGTCAAAAGTGCATTACTTGATTTTGACATGACATACACATTTGATATAGAAAGCCTCTAACTTTTTTTACAAATTATTTTCTGAGCTAATAATTCATTAATTTCACATAATAAGATAAATTTTTTTTTTTTTTTTGACAGTATTAGTATCTAGATGGGGCGAATTTTTAAAGTATGGATAATCCATTGATTGTGATCAGTTTGGTTAAGAGAGACACACATATGCTTGGGTTTCTAATTGTTGTTCATGTTAACCAAACGCCACATAATAACTAAATTAATTGAGATAAAATAAAGATGATTTAATGTATTAGACTCTCATCATTATAAAATTTCAGACTTCACTAATATGTGAACAGTCTTATCTTTCACGAGAGAGATTATTTCTGTGACTTAAATCATTTATCTAGATTATAATGAAACAATTTTTTCGCTATGCCTAACTCACTCTCTAACAAACAAGTTAGAGATAGTTTTGAGAAATTCAAAATTAGTATTTATGTTAATTGAATTGAAATTGAATATACGAAGTCGAAATAGCACACCCATATCAATGGGGTATTTTTTTTTTTGGTTATAAAATATCTACATTTATATTTACTATTCTCTCTAGTTTAACGATTGTCGCTATAGATTAAATTGAGTTAAAAGCATGCTCTTGAAAAATAAAATTGAAGGGTTCTTAGGGAGTATAAGAAACAATTAAATTTAGAACTTTTGAATTATCAATGGGGTTGTTCATGGTGTGTCGTTTGTGTATAGAAAAGAAAAAGAGTAATGCTACACTGATTAAATTTTGGGATTAAATTTAGAGTCCAAATAACATGACAGTTGACTTAGACTTTTTTATTTAGTGTCATGTCATTTGGGCCTCAATAAAAATTTCAAATAATATACTGTTATATCATTTAAACTCTAAATTTGATCCCAACATTTGATCAGCACAGTATTACCCAATAAAAAAAAAAAAAAAAAGGCCTCGCTTATAACACATAGCAGAAATGGACAGAAGTGGTATTGACCAATACGAGATAGCCAAGTTTCTGTCTACCTTTTTGTTTATGTAGTAACAGCTCAGCAGACATTGCCGACAACCCAAGGAAGCATCCAAGGGAAGCATAGTTGTTTTGCATTTGAAGGAGAGTTATAGTGGGCCATATATGATGAGAGCTAAAAGTGACCTTCTGACTCTCATTACAACTTTTTATTCACAATCCTTATCTCTTCGAAATTCTAAACTCAACGATCGCAATTAAAAACGGAGTTGCCTTCGTTGCGGAACTTAACTCAATATTTTACAGTAGGAGTTGACGACAACTATGTCCCATTTGTGTTTGCGTTTCCGAAAATACCCTTTTCTTTCAAGAGAATTCGCGGCTTGTCAAGCTCCAGTAAGATTCTTCATTTTGCATCAAATGAAACCACATGCTCCATCATTTGTGCGGGACCGTGAATTCAATAATGAGTTGTTGCAAAAAAGTCTGGATAAATTAGTATGGTTTAGGTATACTTGAGGCCTTTTTTCACAAAAAAAAAAAAAAGAAGAGAAAATTTGAGATCAGATTAAGTGAAGTATCTTTATATTATTCACCCCAAAAAAAGAAAGAAAAGAATGCTCTTTGACTGGAGGGTGCTTTTTGTGAGTGACCTTCCAGATATCAGAGAGAAAGTTAAGTGTCCTAGTCAAAGTCCTCTATACTGATGGAATTGAACTTATTTAGAGTAAATTTCAGTTGGTTTAATTGTCTAAGCAACATTAGTTACTGCATTTTCAAGTAGACAATTCAATCAGCCAAATTAGTGTTGCTTAAAGAGTAAGAGCTACCTAATTTTTTGTCTATAGGTTCAGTTTACATCATTTAACCACTTTTTAACCTTTTTAGTCTTGTCTTTGTGATTACTTTATCCTTGGTCTACAATCAATAAAGAAGTGTCAAAATGAAATAAGACAACTTAGGCTTTAAAAAAGCTAGTATACCATGTTTTTTCAAGATACTATTAAGTAGGTTAACACTAAGACGAATTGTGGCGGGGTTTGAGTCATGCTTAACTTTTATTATGCCAAGATTTGTTCGTTCATGTTGACATATAATCACACATAACACATAATGAGTGTTTTTTTTCCTTTTTGCGATGCTTTGGAGGGTGTGTGCGGTGATTTTTGCACAATAAATAAAAAGATAGCTCTCTCCATTGGTGAACTCATATTTACCTCGAAAGTCGATAATCCCATGGCAAAAGGAGGCCAGAAAGGGCCTAAGGAATGGTGATGAACTGATTTTCTAGTTGTCCAATCGATTCCAACGAGCTAAACCTTGGCACTCAAAAGAAGAGTTAGAAGGGCGCCAAAGTGTTTTTCGACGTATCTCCTTTGACGATCAGATCAGTTTCTTTGAGAGAGGGGGATGAAAAGCATTGTGTATGTTCTGAGAATTGGATTTGCGTACCTTTGCCTTCAATTTTTTGCAACTATTTATACATTTATGGGTCATCATTACTGACAGGTGAGTCATGTCAAGAGGAGGTCCCTCATTGTTCCATTTGGGAGGAAGTAGGTAGTGCGCAGTCATCGGACAGAGCACCTCCTATTTTGCGTGGGGGAGGACCTATTATTAAATGCTTTTCCTTCTAAGCACAGACATTAAATGCTTGGGCTCCTAAGCATTTAATGCTCCTTCTTCTAGGTTTCCCAAGCCATCATGGATGTCCTATCTTTGGGAAATTATTAAATGCCCCTTATGGAATGGAGGCGTGTTAGA